AGAGAGAGAGAGAGAGAGAGAGAGAGAGAGAGAGAGAGAGAGAGAGAGAGAGAGAGAGAGAGAGAGAGAGAGAGAGAGAGAGAGAGAGTCAAATCACGTGAGTCGTCTTTCCTCCGCCAGTCAGGGGACTGGTGACCATGCGTGCGTGCGTTGAATCGATTGCGCGTATATGATGAGAGAAATTATGTTCCCCTTCTCAGAGGCTTCTCCTTCTTCTCCCCGCTTCCCCTCAGTTTCTCTCACGCCCTGATTAAGACCTCATGTCATCTACGTCTTTCTTCTCCACACCTCGTGTGGTGGAAGGTGAGTGTCCTGTCCACCTGCATTCACATCCTTTCTTCCTCATCTCGACTCTCTCACCCTACCTCCCCGCCCTCCTCCCGATCGCGATTGACCGTGCATCTTCTTCGTAGCCGAACTTCCACCTCGTCTGGATTTTGACGCACTATGGGCCTCGCTCCACTGCACACCATTCTACATGGATCTGGAGCTGGCATTGGTCCCAGTTTCTTCAATCAGTCCGAATGTATGTGGTGCACATGGCAGTCCAGGTACCTGTCGATTGTGGAATGAGGCCCTACACATGGTGCTATATTTGACAGGGAAAAGTGAGAGGGGGTGACACGGGATCGGTACTCCCAAAAGAGTCGGCGCCCATAATACAGCGAATTCAAATCTTATCAATTGTCTTCTTTTTTTTTTTAACAAGAAAAGACTCTGCTCATTTATTACCACTCTTATCATTTTCGCCATCCTCTCTTCCAAGTGCCACTCCGGCAAATTTCGACAAAGTGGAATACATCGTCTGCATTCCTGTCTGCCCCTCCTTCTCCTCCCTTTTCTTCCTTTCGTGACTGCTGCGACCTGGGAAGACAAGTATCTGGCCTTCCTTTGCGGAAAGATGAGTTCTCTTCTTCTCGTCTTTCACCTTCTCTTGCTCGTCCTATTCCTGCCAACTCTTCGGTCTGTGAATTCCGTCAACCCCTGTCTGCTCGCCCTCATCCCATATCTCATCTCGTTACCGCTCTCCTCCTTCCCTTCTTTGCCGGGTTTCCCCTCTTTCTATCATCTGCTCCTCCTCTTCTTGATCTTCCCGCGTTGACAGCCCCATCCCGTGCCCGCGCGTCCTTGCGCCACGGCACTTTCAGGTTACCTCTTCCTTTTCTCCTCTTGCCCGCCCCTCGCCCGCTGACCCTCGCTCCCTGCGCGCCCCTACTTCCCCCCATTGCAATGCGCGCGGACATGTACATTTCCACATTTTTGGCCTGTTCCGTCGCCCTTCTCATCTGCACCCTATCTTTCTTTTCTCTCCTTCATTTCTCCCTCTCTCTCTGTGCACCTCTTTCTGTATCTTCTTCCCCTTTCGCAGCTTCCCTTTGCTGCCTCCCCCCCCGCCCCCCCCACGGTGCTATTCTTCCTCGCGCAATGCCACGTCTGCACCCGACTCACACACACCTCGGCCCCGCGAGGGTCCCTCCGCTGCCGATCCCAACATCATCTCGATCGCGATCGACCGTACACCTGACCTTCTGATCGTCACGTCCACAGCACATTCTCCTCTTACTGTCTTCCCCCGAATAGAATGTACCGTTATTATAGGTGTATTTGGGGCAGCTTTCAGTCTAGGAACAGGGATAATCACCGTAAGTTCTATTCCGGGGGGGAAGAAGGTAACCTCGGTGCCTGAATTGCGACCTCCGCGCACCGCGTACCGGGTTTCGAACACAGTTTTCTGCTGGTTCCCGCCGTCATCCCCTCCACCACAAGTATTCATATACCCCATCATGCGCGCCTAGGTACTTCTTGAGTACTCACCTAAGAGTTTGTACACCCCAAAATCCAATCCCCTCCCCTCCGGTCCCTTTCCCCCCCGCTCTTCCCCGTTCTTCCCGCTCTCCCCGCTCTCCCCCTTTCTGAAACGGTTTTCACCTTTGCAGTAACAGATGCAGGTCCCAGGGCTCGATCCCTAGACCTTACCTCACCCGTGTACAGTATCAAGTCGACCGTTGTGTGTTTTGAACCCGTGACCTGTGTTTTGATAGCTGATTGTTGTCTGTCATAGGTCTGTGTAGGGGTCGGGTCTTGAACCCTAGGTCTGTCGAGTAGGGGTCATAGATGTGCAGAGGTCATAGTTGTTGCAACTCTGAAAGGTCAAGTTCGTAGCTGCTACAGCTCCGAAAGGCCGAAGTCCGTAAGTGGCCTTTCTAGTGTTTTGCTCACGTTAGACCAGAGGCAAGTGGGCAAGTGGGTAGTCCAACTTTGCTTAGTCAGCCGTACCCAGTCCCAGTCTCACTTTGTCCAGTCAGCAAGTACTATGTGGGACTGTGTGGGCCCTGGGCCCCGTGGAAAGGGGCAGACCAGCGACCTACAGAAGTATAAATCAATAGGCAGCGTCCAGCTATGCATTCATTCTGAGTGAGCCATGCGGAAGCGCTGCCCAGGCGTCTTGTGCGAGGCGGTCTGCAGATGCCCGAAGTCGAAGTGTGGGCTGTGAGGGAGATAGAGCGTCCATAGTTAGTAGTAGTGACGGGCCATAGCCGCCTTAGGTTAGAGTTAGTATTCAGCCAGTGTGTGTGTGTGTGTGTGTGTGTGTGTGTGTGTGTGTGTGTGTGTGTGTGTGTGTGTGTGCGTGGTACAGAGTGGTGCGCGTGGGATATCCAGGGAGATCCAGAGTAGAGTGCGTGTGAACGGTTGATGTAAATACAGAGTTGATACTTGAAGTGTAGGAGTTCAGGCGCCATAGCCAATCTGAAGCGAGTTTGTATCTGAGTTGTGTGGGCGCGGGGCACCAGTTTGGATTTGCCACCTGTTTGCATGCATGCGAATTGAAGAAGAAAGAGAGTCTGATTGCATTGGTATCAGAGCAGCCACCTGTTTGCATGCATGCGAATTGAAGAAGAAAGAGAGTCTGATTGCATTGGTATCAGAGCAGGTTTCCGCTGTTCCATGTGCCATCGTCGTCAGCAGTGCGCCATAGCTGGGCACCATAGCAGAAGATGCGCCATCGAGGAAGAGAGATCCGCCATAGCTGCGCCGCTGGAAGTAGACATCGCGCACCTGCAAAAGACAACACAGAGAGAGAGAGAGAGAGAGAGAGAGAGAGAGAGAGAGAGAGAGAGAGAGAGAGAGAGAGAGAGAGAGAGAGAGAGAGAGGAGCGATATCAGATTGGTTGTGCCGTCCAAGGAAGGAGGTGGTGGCCATAGCCGTTGAGCTCGGACATGGAGTAAACGAAGGAGAAAGACCTGGTGAAGGAGGGAGATGAAGGAGAGAGAAGCCATAGCCAGGGTGAAGGAAGAAGGAAGGAATCGAAGTGTTGATCGAGGAGTTGACAAGGGTTGACTGAGGGGTTGACCAAGGTGTTGACTGGGAAGTTGACCAGGAAGTTGACCAGCATTGACCAGTGTTGATTGGAGCTGTTGACCATGAATTTGACCAGGCTGGAGTTGGTATATTCTCGCCTAGCCTTCAACCTATCCCCTCGCCCTGTGGATGTGCAGTCACCCCATGGTACTTGTGAGTCTGTTTGTCTCTTCTTTCTGCATCGTCTGTCCAGGTGATAGGAACTGAGTTGACCAAACCCACACGGGCTGAGTAGGGCTTAAGTCCATGTCTAATGATTGACTGACCCGAAGGACAAACCCTCCCAAGGACTGGTACAGACCGGCGGGCTGGCATGGTAGGCCCAAATTTCGAGCTGTGGGCTGCACAACCAGTTGTCTAAGTCTTGAAAGGACTTGCTGATCGCGTCGTCCTGTCTGCGACGTTAAAGAATTTCTGAGGAATTATGGGCGATCTCCTTAAATGCTTCCTGATCAGCATTGAAGTTCTGTAGTGACAGCTTAGCAGTAGTTATCAAGGTTAGAGACCCTAGTTGACAGGGTTCTACACGGATCCTGTAGTCCTCAGAGAGTCATTCGATCAAGTGGGTAGGTCTAAGTGGTGAGGAGTGGGACTGTTTTGTCGTGCACCTGACACCATTGATGACTACCCTATGTACGACTTGCTCGTGGGGTTCTCCCTCTGGGGGACCCTTTGGCGTCTCCTTTTTCCGTTGGGGTTCTGGAACACCATGTGAGACAAGGGGTGGTGCAGGGACCACCCCCTACACGGAGGAGTGGGAGGAGGAGGCCGCAAAAATTTTGGCCGAGGAGAAGGCCAAGAAAGAGAAGAGGGAGGTGGTGAAGCAGGCCAAGGAGTTGGCCTTACTGGAGGAGCAGGCCGCAAACAAGAAGTTGGAGGAGGAATTGGAGAAATTGAAGAGGGAAGAAGAATCAAAATTGAAAGCAGTGGAAGCGAAAAAAGAACAAGAAGAGAAAAAGGTAGAAGAGGAAGTCCCCTTGATCATAAAGGTCACAAGAGAGAGAGGGGAGTCCAATGGCACGAAAAAGGAGGATCCATGGCTGGGAAAGAAAGTATTTGAGTGGGTCGCTAATCGATCCCTGGGAGAGGAGGAGGAGGCGAAGTTATATGTATCGAGGGCAGAACAAGAAGCAATAGTGAGAGAATGGGAGGCAAAAGAAGACCCTCTACGTCGCCAGATTGAAGAGGAAAAGAAGTTGGAGTGGAAGTTGCGTCTGACCAGGGGAAAAGAAAAGCGGATGAAGTAGGCAAGTAAGGTGGCAAAAGAGTTGGGAGGGGGTGAAGCAGCAAAGGGCGCAGATGGAAGCGCAGACGGATTTGCAAGGGAAAATGGAGGTAATGGCTAGAAATATAAAACTCTTGGCAAGGGCCCAAGAAGAGCAGTTTCAGTTTGCCAGGAGTCAGGATGTGACCTTGCGATCCATACATTTGGGTCTTAGGGACTTTGCACGAGAGATGATGATGCACGTGGGCACAAAAGTGAAAGCGAGGATGGAGAGCACTGAGCGGTTCTGTATAGGCGCCATAGAGGGTGCCAAGTTGGCAGCTCCAAGGAAAGAAGAGGTGCGTCCCCGTAGGGATCCGGTCAAGTTCCCTAGTTCCTATAGTGGGAAGAATGGAGAAAACTTGGACAATTGGGAGGCGAACATCAATTTGTATGTTCACCTCCAGAAGATCTTGCCTGAGGAGCAAGTACTAATCGCTTTCCATGCCCTCAAGAATGAAGCAGTGAACTTTGCCTGATCGCACGCCCTTGCAACTACATGCGACAGCGATATGGTAACTTACTCCACGATCACCCCTCTCAGCGAGTTCTTCAAATTGCTGCATGAAAGGTTTGCAGATGTCACCAGAGGAATTAGAGCCTCTGACAAGCTGCAAACAGTCCACTCTCGACTCTCGCCAGTGGAAGAGTGCGAAGGTACTCAAGGGAGTAATGAATGAGTTGGTAGTTGTCCCTGGCCATGGAGTCACTGAGACTCAGTTGGTCCAACTGTTTTATCGTGCTATGCCTGAGCCCTTGCGCCGGCTCTTCTTTGAGAAAAGCAAGGAGTCCACTATGACCTATGATACCTTGAGTAGGGAAGTAGTGGCTTTCGAGGCCCAGTCCATGCCAACCACCACCTTTTGGCACAAGGATCTGGACAAGGGCCAAAAATGGAAGGATCGTACCATCTCGGGCCAAATCAAGGCCAAGGATCACTTGACCCTGACTCTAGATGAGGGTGGTACGGAAGAGGTTCCATATAATCAAATAGAGTGGGGCCTAGAGGAGGAGGGCAGTGGCGATAGTCAAGGAAGGACTTACGCTGCTGTCGCGGCTGGAGGGAGGTCGCAAGGAAGAGGAGCCGGGGCCAAGGGGGTCGGGCCTCTGGTGGTCGAGGAGAGGGCAATCAAGGGGTTGGCAACAGAGGAAATCGCCAAGAGGGAGGTAGGAGTCGAGGTCCCCCGCAAAACCGCTCTTGTCTCACTCGATCACCTCCTAGGAGGGGTGGATGGCACCCTGGCTTGCCACAAGGGAGGCCTTGGGAAGATCTGGGCTTTTATAACAAACAGTGCGGCAGAGGCGGATAGACCAGGATTAGTGCATGTATTGCGGTGATTCAGGCACATCATTAAATACTACCCCAAATATAGAGAAGCCCGAAATGCTGCGTAGGCAGCAAAAGGCAATCGCCGGTAGGGGTTGCAACTGTCCTTACCCCTAGACCATGTGGAGAAGAGTGCGAGCACCATAGAGAAACTCCCAGCCCACATGTGACTATGGCAGAGGTTGTTGGCTAGTGCCTAGATAGCTGTTCAGAGACTGCTCGTGTTAGAGTCTCTCTAGGCACTTCCGTCACAGGCCTGGCAGAGGAGCCGAAAGAAAGGATGCCGGTCTGGGCCAAAATGAAGAAAGATGGTAAAGGACTACTAGTTATAGTGGATGGAGGTCTTTAGAGCCAGAGTAGGCCCCCTTATAGATAGTGGGGCCAGTCGCAGTTATATTAGTAGAAAAGTGTTACAAAAGTTGAATCTGAAGGTCCAGAAGTTAGAAGACCCTATAGTGAGCATCCTCGCAGACAATCGCACTATGCGAGTCGGGGATTACGTAGAGGGAGTCCAAGCTTACTTTTGCCTAGAGAAGGATGAGAAGGTAGAGAGAGTTCTCCATTCCCTGACTCTCCTCGTAGAGGACAACCTTCCATTTGACATGGTCCTAGGAATGGACTGGGGAGAGGCAGTAGCGGCCACACTCCATCTAAGAGAGCACGAGTGTAGGCTCCTTAGCCCATCAGGCGAAGTTAAGACTGCTCGCCTGTTTCATATGTCAGGAGTAGATAACCCCCTGGCACATTGTTGTCTCAGTGCTCCCGCATTCGCGCGATTAGTGAAGAAGGAGCAATTAGTAGAACAAGTTTTTGTAGCCTATGTTAGGCCTGTTACTGCCAAGTTGTTGGAATAATGTACAAATTTGGCTAAACCGCCTACAGGAGTAGTGTCGCGGCCGATTCAGCACCCCATTGAAATAGAGTCTGGCAGTAGAACTCCTAAAGGAGTTGTGTATAGAATGTTCCCAAGGGAGTTAAAGGAGCTGCGCAAACAGTTAGACGAGCTCCTAGAAAAGGGTTGGATTAGGCCCACTTCGTCTCCGTTTGGAGCACCCGTTGTTTTTGTTCTCATGAAGGAGGGAGAGCTTAGAATGTGCATAGTCTATAGGGGTCTCAATGCCGTCACAGTGAAGAATGCAAAATCATTGCCACATATAGATGATTTATTAGACCGGGTGTAGGGGTGCAAGTACTTCTCTAAGATAGATTTGAAGTCAGGCTATCATCAGATAGAAGTCCACCCTGATGATCAATACTAGACAGCATTCAGGACTAGATATGGGCACTATGAGTTTATAGTAATGCCCTTTGGACTAACCAATACGCCAACTACATTTCAACGCTGTATGAATGATCTGTTTAGGCCATTGATAAATAGATTCGTAGTGGTGTACCTAGATGATATTGTAGTCTTTAGTAAGACCCTCCAGGAGCATGAGGGCTATCTGAGGCAAGTCTTGGAGAAGTTGAGGGAAACTAACTTCAAGATCAACGCGAAGAAGTGCGAGTGGGCCAAGACACAAGTTGTGTACTTGGGCCACGTCTTAGATGGAGATGGCATAAAACCTGAGGACAATAAGATAGCGGCGATTAGAGATTGGCCAACGCCGCGCACATTGACAGAGTTGCGGTCGTTCCTAGGCCTAGCAAAGAAAGTTCGTAAGGAACTTCTCTACCATCGTTGCACCCCTTCGCATGTTGCTAAAGAAAGAAGCAATCTGGGAGTGGGATATAGACTGTACGTCGGCCCTGAAGAAGCTAAAGCGGGCCCTGATAGAGTACCCAGTCCTCAAGGTAGCGGACCCATCCTTGCCTTTTGTTGTCACCATCGACGCAGGTCAGTATGGTATAGGTGTTGTGTTACAGCAAGATGATGGCAATGGGTATAGACCCGTAGAGTTCATGTCTGCTAGGATGCCTTCAGAAAAGATAGCGACATCTACCTATGAGAGGGAACTCTACACACTCTCAGGCAAGCGCTAGACCATTGGAAGCACTACTTGCTTCGGAGGCACTTCAAATCCTATTCCGACCACGAGACGTTGATGTGGTTGAAGACACAGGCCAAGATAACACCTAAGCTTACAAGGTGGGCCGCAGAGACAAACTAGTTTGACTTGGAGCACAAGCCAGTGGAAGGGAAGTATAATGTAGTTGCGGACATTGTAGAAGAGCTGATTACTTTGGAGCAATAGTTCACTTGTTGGATATAGGGAGAGACCTGCAACAAAAAGTTAAACCACCAGTACCTCTCCCAGCTATAAAAAAAAGTTGCGGCCGTTAACGCGCCGTGACTTTCGGGGGTCGCTAGCTCCAACGCCCGGTCGGTGCAATTTCGCACCCCCAAAGGAAAAAAA